TTCCAGAAAGTGCAGGATAGTGACCCAGGTGTCCCAGTCAATACTTACTCCTTAGTCAGCAACACAATGATAGATTGTCTGGTCATTAATACAATGTTGCTTGTGGGAGAGTATGGTGTGAAAATTAGCTGCTATATTTTCTACAAGGACTGCACTTCAAAAATACTTCAGTGGCTGTCAAACTCTTTTTAACATCCTGACGTGAAAGATGCAAGCCTTTATAAACAAGATAATCCAGGTTCAAGTCCTGCCTCAGAATTCAATGGCCAGGGAAGGTGCATTCACAATCTGGCTAAAAAGATGGAGTATCAATCGGCAAATTCTTCCAACACTGCCAGTAGCAGACTGTAAGGTTGGAGAGATTCATGGTCAGCTGTGTGTCTAAAGGAACATTGGAGACTCTACTACCATTATCCATAGTTCCAGACTGCGACATATACATATGCGCATGTTCCCATAGCAACTTAGACTCCTCCAGCAATCTTATCACCACACGACAAGGGTATTGAGGGATATGGAGCAAAGGTGGAAAAATCAAGTTGAAACATAAGTCAACCATGATCTGACTATTTACTTAAATATGCTGCTGGAGCCTCCTGTTGTACCCAGGTCCTGTGCCTCAGGAGTGTTTCCTTTCAAGGTAAGTTAGATATCCTGATTTTCACTCTCCCCTACACCCTACTTTTCCTGACAATAGACCTGCTGGCTTCTTACTTTTCAGTTTTAATGAAGACCAACAGGGAGAATTTCTCTGGGACTCTCAGAATCACAGCATTGTACAAGTACATTGTAGGTATCATTAGCAAAGAACTGACAGCAAGATGCCTATTCGATGGAATTGCGTTATAGCCAACACAAGTTCGCATTTTAGAAATAGCGTTCCCCTATTCGCCAATTGTGTTATAGCCAACTCGTGTTGTTGGAACATGCATTATAACAGAACTCTCTGCACTCCAAAGTAATCTTCTTTGCTGTCCACTACACTTCCAATTTTGCTGTCATCTGCAAACTTACTAACCATACCTCGTACATTCACATTTAAATCATTTTATATAAATGACAAAAAGCAGTGGACCCAACACCAATCCTTGCAGCACACTGCTGGTCACAGGCTTCCAGTCTGAAAAGCAACCCTCCACCACCACCCTCTGTCTTCTATTTTCAACCTAGTTCTGTATCTAAATGGCTAGTTCTCCCTGCATTCCATGTGATCTAACCTTGCCAACCAGTCTACCATGAGGAACATTGTCAAACGCCTTCCTGAAATCCATATAGGTAACGTCCACCGCTCTGCCCTCCTCAATCTTCTTCGTTACTTCAAAAAACTCAATCAAGTTAGTGAGACACAATTTCCCATGCACAAAGCCATGCTGACTATCCCTAATCAGTCCTTATCAGCCTCACCAGTCTATAGTTCTCTGGCCTTTCCTCATCACCTTTCTTAAATAAAGGCACCATGTTAGCCAACCTCCAATCTTCCAGCAACTCACCTGTGGTTATCGATGATATAAATATCTCAGCAAGGGGCCCAACGATCACTTCCCTAGCTTCCCACATAGTTCTAGGATACACCTGATTGGATCCTAGGGATTTATCCACCTTTGTGTGTTTTAAGGCATCCTGCACCTCCTCCACTTTAGTTTGGACATTTTTCAAGATATCACTATTTATTTCCCCAAGTTCTCTTTCACCCATTTAGGCTACCTTACCATCTTTAAAAGGGCACTATTCTCTCCCTAGTTACTCTTTTGTCCTTAATGTATTTGTAGAATCCCTTTGTATTCTCCTTAATCCTATTTGCCAATGCTATCTCATGTCCCCTTTTTGCCTTCCTGATTTCCCTGAAGTATACTTCTACTGCCTTTACATTCTTCTAGGGATTTACTCGATCCCTGCTGTCTATACATATGCTTCCATCTTTTTCTTGACCAAAACCTCAATTTTTCTAGTCATTCAGCATTCCCTACACCTAGCAGCCTTGCCCTTCACCCTGACAGGAATATACTGTCTCTGGTCTCTTGTTATCTCACTTTTGAAGGCTACCCATTTTCCAGCAGTCCCTCGCAAATTTCCACCACCAAGTTCTTGCCCAATACCATAAAAATTGGCCTTCCTCCAATTTAGAACATGTAGATCTGGTCTATCCTTTTCCATCACTATTTTAAAACTAATAGAATTATGGTAACAGGCCCCAAAGTGCTCCTCCACTGACACTTCAGTCACCTCACCTGCTCTTTTCCCATGAGTAGGTCAAGTTTTGCTCCTTCTCTGTTGGGTACATCCATATACTGAATCAGAAAATTTCCTTGTACATACTTAAATTCCTCTCCATCCAAGCCCTTAACACTATGGCAGTCCAAATCTATGCTTGTAAAGTTAAAATCCTCTACCATTATCACCCTATCATTCTTACTGAGATAACCGAGATCTCCTTACAAATTTGTTTTTCAATTTCCCTCCAACTATTTTTTTTTGGGAGGGGGTGGTGGGGGGGAAAGAAAGAAGCTTTATAGCATTTAAACCCTGGAACATTGAGCTGCCAGTCCTGTCTGTCCCTGAGCCACATCTCTAATTGCTATGGTATCCCAGTCCCATGTTCCCAACCAAGCCCTGATTTCATCTGCCTTACCTGGCCTCTTGCATTGAAATAAATTCAGTTTATTTTATCAGTCCTATTTCCTTGCCTGCTTTGCTCCCAACTGTTTAATTTGCTTATTTTCCCAACTACGCCGGTCTCAGACTGATCTCTCTTCTCACCATCTCCCTGGGCTCCCCATGCCCCAAACCCACCCCCAGATCATTTTTACCCCAGAAGAGATTCCAATGATCCAAAAAGGTGAATCCTTCTCCCCTGCACCAGCTCCTCAGCCATGCTTTCATCTGCACTATTCTCTTATTCCTAATGTCACTAACCCATGGCATTGGGAATAATCCAGATACTACTACCCTTGCAAACCTACTTTTTAAATTCATACTTAACTTCCTAGATTTTCTCCTCCTTAGTCATTAGTTCCAATGTGAACAACGACCTCCTGCTGGTCCCTCTCCCCTTTGAGAATATTCTGCACTCTCAGATATTCTCAATCCTGGCACAAGGGAGGAAACACACTATTCCGATGTTTCATTGAGGGCTGCAGAAATGCCTGTTTGTGCTTCTAAGAGTTCCCTATCGCAATCGATTGCTTGGAAGCTGACGTACCCACTGTTACATTAGAGCCAGTCCCTGTACCAGAAACTTGGCTGTGAGTGCTATATTCCCCTGACAGTCCCTCACTTCCTACATTTTCCAAAACAGCTACTTGTGAGATGGGGACAGCCACAGGAGACTCCTGCACTACATGCATTCCTCTCCTGCCTTTCCTGGAGGTAAGGCGTCTACCTGGCTGTACCTGCAGTTTTTCTCCCTTCCCTCAATTGCCATCCATCACACCCCCGAGCTCCTGTAAACTCCTCGTTGCTTCTAACTGCTGGTCCAACTGATCCATGTGATCTGATAGGATTCGCACCCAAACACACTTGCTGCAGGCATAATCATCAGTAACATGGAAACTCTCCCTAATCTCCCACATCCGATGGGAAGAGCACATCACTCTACCAAGGGCCATCTTTGCACTTTAACAATCTACAGTCCCAGAAAACAGCCCAGTCGTGCTGCTCAAAAAACACTGCTCCACGCCAAGTACCTTTTTTTTATTTTTAAAGTTTAATCAAAAGACAGATCTTATTAAATATACAATCAAGTAAAAACCCCACTTGACTCACTATTGTAACCTTACTGTGTTTTTATTGTAAATCTACACTTTAAAAATACCACTTAACCACTCCCCTGCTATGAGCTCCCCCACACAGGTTTCTTCAAGGTCAGCTGTGTAATTGAAGAAGCAACTGAAGATGTTTGGGTGTAGGACACCAAGCTGAGGAACTCCTGCAACTATATGCTGTGGTGGAAATGACTGGCCTCCAACAAAACCATCTTCCTTTGTGCTAGGAATGACTCCAATCAGAGCTTTCCCTCTGATGCTCACTGACTTAAATTTTACTAGGGCTCAAATGCTGCCTTGGTGAAAATGCTAACTATTCTCATCTCACTTTTGGGATGTTACTTTTTTGTTCACATTTGGACCATGGCTGCAATGAATTCTGGAGCCAAATGTTCTTGACAGAACCCAAAATGAACATCGATCAACAGCTTACTGATGAATAAGCCTAGACTGGATGGATCCAGTTTTTTGTGGACAGGACATACTGGACAATTTTCCACATTTTTCAGTGTATGCAGCTGTACTGAAACTTAGTAGCATCCAGAATCAATGTTGAGGATTTCCAAGCCACTTTCCCCCACAACGGTAAACCACTGTGCCACCATCTCAGGTGGGTCTGTCCTGCTGGTGGGAAAGGACATACCAAAGAATGAGTTTTTAGGCACTTAGGATATTGACTGTAAGGTATGATTCAATGAGTATGATTATGAATATATGAGTCAGATGTTGTGTAAGTAGTCCATGGTCATCTGTCCAATCTTTGCATGCCTTCCAGTATTAGCGAAAGAGACTGGCAAGATTGACTGGGCAAGGTGTGCTTTGTGTCCTTCCGGTTTTATTATTATTTGACTTCTTTGTTGCAGCTTGATAAAACAGATTGCTGTGCTAGGCCATTACAAATGAGAGTTAGGAGTTAAATACATTGTTGAAAGTTTGGACCACATTTAGGACACACCAAGTAAGGACTGCAGATTTTCTTGTTCAACAGGCCTGAGACAATTCTAAATATATAATTCTGAAGTTATGGATAGTGGTCTAAATAGGCAACAGGTTAAAACATATTCATCAGTATTACTGCATGCAAGCACTGCAGCTGTACTTACACTTACTAGTGCTTGACTTAAGATTATAAATGATAAAAGGAACTGGAAGGCCCCCTCAAGTCAGATTAGACTGCAGAGATATACCTATTGGAGGAAGGGAAGAGATTTAAATTTCAAAATTCAAACTGCTACATACCGTCATAAAAACCTGCTGCCAAATATTCATGTTCACCAGTAGGCATCCAGTCAAGGCAGAAACATTGTCCACATTGTGAGGAACCACTAAACTGGACTGATCCAATCTCCAGAATTACAGTACATTGAACCTGCAAAGTAATAATGATGTCTTGTGATTTTTAAAAACACTAGACTGATTTGTGACAGATCTCATTTTTAATCAGTTTAAATCCTTCTTCTAGGTAAAAGGTTTAATTAAATTAATTACCTTACATATGATTGGCCCTGGAATAGATGAACCTATAAAAATGAAAAACAAGATTTATCATAATGAAAAATATTGGACAATCTGACAAATACCATGAAGAACTGTATTTCTTGCATTTAGTATCTAAACAATGCATAGATGTATTTTAAATTAGACTGTCACTAACAAAAAATTATATCCAAATTTCTTATGAGCACAGAACATACTTTTAAGCAAGTGTGGCCTAATTTAGCAATTGTGCTTCCACACCAGCTCCTTTTGTTAAAAATATTTGACCAACTTTATTCATCAGAATTCCTGTTTGAGGTGCTCCTTTTATACAAACATTTAAATTGCCTAATTTTTGAATATTTCCACATGATATTAGACCCTTTAAATTTAGAGGCATTTACACATACACTGACATGAAAATGGGCCTTTCAAGAGCTAGTCAATTTGATTTTGCAGCAAAAGAAACTGGATTTATTTTAGATAATACTTTAATAACCTTTGCAGTTTACTGCCAATAAAACATGGCTAGCACTGCACCTTAACTAAAATTGGTCTTTATCTGCAGTAAAAATAAGGGTAAAGTTATCAATAGTCATTTATTAATAAAAGTGGGCAGCAACTTCCAGCACGGATATAATCATCTTATATTTATGCAGTACACTTGCATAAGAAAATGTCCCAAGATGCTTCATAGGCACACTACAAAACAAAGTATGCCACTCAATTTAAGATTACATGAGGTGATCAAACGTTTAGTCAAAGAGATAGGCTTTAAGAAGCAAGACAGATTGGTGCAAGGAGCTAATTCCAGAGCCCCGTAACGCAACTCGGATAAAAGCAAAATACTGTAGAGGCTGGAAATCTGAAAGAAAAACAGAAAGAGCTGCAGAAGCTTAGCATGGCTGGCTGCATCCGTGGAGAGAAAAACAGAGTTAATGTTTTGAGTCCAGTGTGACTCTCCTTTGGAATTGCTCCAAAGATGAAAAATACCAGACTCACAACATTAACTGTTGTTTTTGCCACAGTTGTTGCCAGACTGCTGAGTTTCTGCAGCGCTTTGTTTTTAAACTCAACAGAGGTAAGTCAACTTACTCCCAATAGTGAGACAACTAAAATTGGCGATCCACTAGAGGCCTGAATTGGACATGTACAAATACCACAAAGGGTTACGGGCAGGGGGAGATTCTAGTGATGGGAGGAGGAATGCTAAGGAAGTATCTGAAAATGATGAGGATTTTAAAATCAAGATGTTACTTGATCTGGATGCCAATGTAGGTCAGCAGGAACAAGGATGAAAGACAAATGGGTCTTGCTATGAATTAAGATATGGGCAACTGAATTTTGATTGAATACAAGTTTACTGAGGTTACAGAATGTGAGACACCAGCCAGGAGAGCATTGGAATTGTCTTGTTTACAAGAGGAAAAACCATAAATGAGAACTTGAGCAGCAGAGGAGTTGAGACAGGGTGAAACCGGGTGACTTTATGGAGTTGGAAAAATGATTTTAGTGGTCTTAACGGTAAAGAAATGAGGAAATTATTGTATAATGTGCTCTGCTCCTCCACAAGCTTCACTCTGATGGTAGGTCACCGAGATGTGACATTACGAAGGTACGGTGGCTCAGTGGTTAGCACTGCTGCCTCACAGCGCCAGGGACCTGGGTTTGATTCCAGCCTCATGCGACTATGTGTGCAGAGTTTGCACTTTTCCCTATTATCTGCGTGGGTTTCCTCTGGATGGTCTGGTTTCCTCCCACAGTCCAAAGATGTGCATGTTAAGCAGATTGGCCATGCAAAATTGCCCATAGTGTCCAGGGATGTGCAGGCTAAGTGTATTAGCCATGGGAAATGCAAGGTCACAGGGATAGGGTAGGGAGGTGGGTCTGGTTTGGATGCTGTTCGGAGGGCCAGTATGGACTTGATGGGCAGAACAGCGTGCTTTCATACTGTAGGGATTCTATGAAGGACTATATGACGTACTATACCATAAGTGCTATATATCATACAGCATACAATATTACACTGTCCCTACAGTTGCTTTGTCCCTTGATAGCCAAGAGATCTATTCATCACTAAACTAACACAGGCTTTGGTCAACCAAATCTAATTGTTTGGCAAAGTAGCACTGTAATTTAGAAAACGGATTGTATGTTTCATGTTGCATGCATTAAGCAAGCTTCAATGAGAAGCATTTCTAGATTTCAGGTCAGACATCCTCAAACATTAAAAGACTGACTTGCTTTCTGTTACCAGTGCCAAATCATGTAAGAAATATGGTGAATAAACTACAAGCTAGAATTATTACACATAACTCATCAGATATTGGAAACAAATAGGGCTCTTTGAAAACATTGCTCTACTCAGCAGAAAGTGGGCAGTTAAAACTGGCCAGGTGACTTATTGACCAACATCTCACTGGCTTCTTTTGAGTAGGCAGTAAAGTCAGCTACTCAAAACTCAAGAGATTGTAATTTTAATATGCAGCTTGGGATCTGAAAACACATCTGCCAGCCACCAACTGCAATATTAAACAAGTGAATGGAAAAGCAGAAACTGTTGTGGCTTCTCTGCCAGACAAAGTTGGCAGGAAGAGAATCTGGATCCAGAATAGGCCCAAACAGAAACAGGTCTGTTGCACGAGATAGAACATAGAACAGTACTGTAGAGGAACAGACCCTTTGTTCCACTATGTCTGTGCAGATCAGGTTGCCATTCTAAAACTAACACCATCTACTTGCACATTGTCCATAGCCCTGCCTGTTCATGTGTCTGTCATGTACCCCTTCAACGTTGTTATCGCGTCTGTCTACCACCTCCTCGACAGCATGTTCCAGGCACCTACCACTGTTTAAAAAAAAAAATTCCTAACAAAGCTCCTTTAAAGTTTTCTCCTCTCACTTTGAACCTACGCCCCTTATTATTTGACATTTCTACCCTGGGAAAAAGACTTTGACTATCCATGCCTCTCACAATTTCTAATCAAGTCACCCTCAGCCTTCGATGCTCTAGTGAAAACAATCCAAGTTGTCCTTATAGGCATCATCCTGTAAACTGCTTTTGCACCATCTCTAAAATCTCCACATCATTCCTACAATGCGGTGACTAGAATGGCACACAATACTCAAATGCAGCCCAACTAAAGTCATACAGCTGCAACATGACTTGCCAACCTCTATATTCAATGTCCTAACTGATGAAGGTAAGCATTCACCTTCTTTACCACCTTATCCACTTGTGTTGCCACTTTCAGGAAGCTATGGACTTGTACCCCAAGATCCCTCTGTACATCAATGCTGCTAAGGGTTCTGCCATTTACTGCACACTTTCCTCTTGCATTTGACCTCTCAAGACGTATCAGCTCACACTTGTCTGGATTAAACTCCATCTGCTATTTCTCGACACAACTGTCTATATCCTGTTGTATCCTTTGATCACCTTCTTCACTATCCACAACTCTATCCATTTGTGTTGTCTGCAAACTTACTAATCAGACCAACTATATTTTCACCTAAATTATTTATAGAGCTTCCAAGCACAGAGGTCCAGGCACTGACCCTTGAGGAACACCAATGGTCATAAACTTCCAGTCAGAAAAATACCCCTCCACAATTATCCTGTGTCTTCCTATGGCCAAGCCAATTCTATATCCAACCGGCCAACTCACCATGTCACTTAATCTTCCGGACCAGCCTACCACGAGGGACCTTGTCAAATACTTTAGTAAAAGTCTACATAGACAACATTCACTGGTCTACCCTCAATCATTTTTGTTACTTGCTCAAAACATCCAATCACGTATATAAGACAAGACCTTACTGCATAAAGCCATGTTGACTAATAAGTTAATTCTTCTCCAAATGTGAGTAAATCCTGCTTCTAAGAATCTTCTTCAATAAATTCCCTACCACTGACGTAAATAATTTCCTGGATTATTCCTGTTGCCCTCCTTAAACAAAGGTACAACTTTGGCTATTCTCCTGTCTAAGGTTCTTTAGTAGATTTGTAGCTCGGGTTGTGGATGCTATGGCTGGTTCACTCGCCAAGCTGCAGCGATTGCATCTTTCTTATTCCTAAAATCTACACATATAACCTCACTGGATGAAGCCCTTCATCGGAGGCTGCACTGATGATGTTATCCAGCAGGGTAATGCAATGTCTGCGAACTAACGAACAAGCTCGGCAAGCGAACCTAACACAGTATTCTCCAGTCTACCAGGACTTCAGGTGTGGTTAATGAGGATACAAAGATCTCTGCCAAACCTCCAGCAATCTCCTCTCTGGCCTCTTTCAGTATCCTGATATAGATGCCATCCGGCCCTGGGGATTTATTTAACAATGTTTGAGACGCTCGACATGACGTCCTCCCTAATATCGACATGCCCCAGAATACCAAATTACCCCATAATAACTATCATTATCGATATCCCTCTGTTTGGTGAATACCAATACAAAGTACTCATTAAGGACCTCACCTACTTCTTCTGGCTCCCCACATAAATTCTCTCCCTTGTCCTTGAGTGGGCACACCTTTTCACTAGCTACCCTTTTGCTCCTCGTATGTATAAAATGCCTTGAGATTCTCCTTAATTCTATTTGCCAAGGACATTTCATGGCTGCTTCTAGCCCTCCTAATTTCTTAGCAAGTTTTTTTTTTGCTTCCTTTATACTCAAGGGCCTTGTTTGATATCAGTTTCCTGAACTTTACATATGCTTCGCTTTTCTTTCTGACTAACCTGTTAATATCTCTTGTTATCCAAGGCTACCAAACCTTGCCATCCTTATCTTTCATCATTCCATGAAATATGCTGGTCCTGAACTCTGATCAACTGGCCTTTAAAAGAATCCCGCATCAGAAGTGGATTCACCCTCAAACACAGTCACTCCTCCCCCATTCAATTTCTACCAGTTCTTGCTTCATCTAATGTGATTAGCCTTCTCCCAATTTAGTACATGCACCTGAAGACAAGTCTTATCCTTAACCATAACCATCTTAAAATTTATAAAATTAAGATCACTCTTCCTAAAATACTCCCTCACTGT